ACTGTGGCTTTGTAGTAGAGCTTGAAGTTGGGGAGCAAGATCCCCCCCACTTTATTCTTCCTTCTCAGGATTACTTTGGCTTTTTGGGGTCTTTGGTGTTTCCATATGAATTTTTGAACTATTTGTTCCAGTTTGTTGAAGAATGTTGTTGGTAATTTGATAGGGATTGCATTAAATCTGCAGATTGCTTTGGGCAGGATGGTCATTTTGACGATATTAATTGTTCCTAGCCAGGAGCATGGGATGAGTTTCCATTTGTTAGTGACCTCTTTATCTTGTAGTTTTCAGGGTATAGGTCTTTCACTTCCTTGGTTAGGTTTATTGCTAGGTATTTTATTCTTTTTGATGCAATTGTGAATGGAATTGTTTTCCTGATTTCTCTTTCTATTAGTTCATTGTTAGTGTATAGGAAAGCCACAGATTTCTGTGTGTTAATTTTGTATCCTGTAACTTTGCTGTATTCCAATATCAGTTCTAGTAGTTTTGGAGTGGAGTCTTTAGGGTTTTTTATGTACAGTATCGTGTCATCTGCAAATAGTGACAGTTTAACTTCTTCTTTACCTATTTGGATTGGTTGTATTTGTTTTTAGTTTACCTTTTAAAGAGTTATAAGAAAATAATCTTACATATTTATCTTAGTAGTTGCTATTTCTAGTGCTCTTCATTGCTTTATATAGATTCAGATTTCCATCTGGTATCATTTTCCTTCTGTGTGAAGGATTTGTTTTACATTTGTTCTCATGTGGTCTGCTGGTGAGGATTTCTTGGGTTTTTGAATTCCTGGAAATGCCTTTACTTTTGCCTTCATTTTTAAAACATTATTTTTGAATATAGAACTCTAGATTGACTTTTTTATTCTCTCAGTTCTTTAAAGATGTTGTTTCACTGTCATCTCACTTGCACCATTTCAAAGAGAAATCTGTAGTAATCTTTGTCTTTCCTCTCATGTCTACTTGCTGACTAATTTAAAATATTTCTCTTTATTATTGGTTTCAATCAGTCTGATTAATATGTGTCTAGGTGGTTTTATTCATGTTTCTTGTGTTTGGGGTTCATTGAGTTTATTATGAGTTTATATTTTTCATAAAATTTGAAAAACTTTTTTAGCCTTCTTTTCTTCAAATACTTTTTCTGTCCCCCACTTTTCCTTTGGGGACTTTAATTAGACCTGTAATTGGCTTCTCAACACTACCCCACAGCCCACAGATGGCTTTTTCATTTTTAAAATTATGTTTCCTCTCAATGTTTTCATTTTGGATAGTTTTCTACTGGTATTCTTTGAGTTCGCTAATCTTTTATTTTGCATATTTTTTTGAATGTTTAATCTGCCACCAGTCTCACCCAGCGTAATCTTCATCCCAAACATTCTAGTTTTCATGTCTACATTTTGATTTGTCTTCCTTATATCTTTGGTGCCTCTTACTTTTTGAACATAAGAAATGCAGTTCAAAACTTCAGTGTCCTTTATCTGTTAATTCTCCCATCTGTCAGTTCCGAGTGATATTGATTTGATTGCTTTTTCTCATCCTGGGTTACTTTCCTGCTTATCTGGTAATCTTTGTTTGGATGCCAAATGTTTTATCTCAGTGCTTGATGCTCTTATTTCTATTCTTCAGCTTTGTTGTGGGAAGCAGTTAAGACTCTGGGGAGGGCTTGGTTCCCTTCAGGTCTTGCTTTTGTGTTCGTTAGGTCTGGAGTAAAGCGCCGCCTAGGGGCACTTAATCCTTACTAGTTAGCCAAGACCTTCCTGTGCATCCCACTCAGTGGCCCATGAATTACAGCATTTCAACCATAGGAACAGACGCTATTCCTGTTATTGTTTCTTTAAACCTTTAGGACAGGGTCAATACACTTTTTCTGTAGAGTAAGATAGTAAACATTTTAGGTGTGGCTAAATGAATAATGAATAAATGGATGGGTGTAGCTGTGGTCCAATGAAGCTTCAAAAAATGGGCATCATGCCAGATTTAGGCAATCCCTGCTTCAGGAGGATTCTTTCCCAGCCTTCAGTAACTTCCTTGCAGGTTACGTACGTGCTGACCCCGTGCTCTGCTGAATACTCAAGGGCACCGTATGTGGGTCCCTGGGGCTCTGCTGCCAGCTGCCATGAGGAAGTCTGCACGCAGCTCTAGCTGCCTTGGTCTCCCTGTGCTCTCGGCTTTGCCTCCTCCACTCGGAGCCACACAGGCTCCAGCTTGTGACCTAGGACTCCACACAATCGAGGCAATCATTGGGCTCATCCTGCCTGTTACCCATTTGTTGCCTGACATCTAATGTCTTGAAAAACCCATCATTTGTTTTGTTTATTGACTGATTGCTTCAGGTGGAAGGTGCCTGTTCTGGTACCTGTTACTCCACCTTGGCTGAAAGTGGGACCTCTTAGCTGTTTAGATTAAAAGTTAATTAAATTAAAAGTCTGTTCCATAGTTGCATTAGTTGTGGCGCACAGTGAACATCGCCCTTTATAGGAATTCTATTGGACAGTGGCTCCCACCTCTGCCTCCCCACGTTAGTTCACAGGCACGGTGCTCACAGAAGGCTCACCTCTTACAGAAGAGACAGGAGGGCGGCCAGGAGAACAGTGGGAACTTGGCTCGACAGCAGCAACAGATCTGTAAGAATCAGCCTGGGTAGAGACCGGTTTTGCCCCAGGCTCGCTGGGCCCGGTCCTGTCCTCACCTGCCCCTCGCCCAGGGCCCCTGCCTGGTGAGGTTGCCGCCCAGGGTCCAACTGGCTTACCTTCCCCTTCTTTAGGCTGCTGAAGAGCTCCTTGTTCTGCAGGAACTTCTCCATCTCGGCCTTCACCAGCACACGGCGCACGCCAATCACCTCCTCCACAGTCAGAGCGAGGCTCTCCACGGGGTGACTGAACTCCTGGGCACAAGAGATGGAGAGCCGGTGCTCACTCAGGTCCGCGGGAACGAGCCTTCTGGGAGTCTCCCTAAGTCCCTCCTTCCCTGGGGACCCTGACATCCTCTGGCCTCCATCTGACTGGAGCTCAGCAGCGTCCTAGTGCCCTGTTCTTCCGCTAATCAGTGCTTGGGGGCCACACATGCGCCCTGTGCCCTCTCTGACGGGGTCCTGCTGCAGGGCTGGGTCTCTTGTGACTCGATGCTGCCCACCACCCATCTGGCCTGCCTCTGGTCCCTCGACATATCCCCTTCAGCCCACCCCCACCTTTGTTCAAGCACTCCCCAGGCCTGAAACCTCTGCCTCCCACCTTCACACACCACAGCCAGTCAGAACCAAACGGTCTCAGACCCACCCTTCTCCCCCTGGAATCCTTCATGGAGCGCTCTCCCTTGGCATCTCACTCCAGCAGGGCTCTGGGTCGGCCCGTCTGTAGGCAGCATGAGTCCTACTCAGGACAGTTGCCTCCCCAGAGGCTGTCATGGCGAGTGCATCCTGTTTTACCTCCAGGGCAAAGCATAGACCCCAACCTCCCAACACCTCATCTACTCTTCTGTAAAGTGGATTGTTTCAGCCCCACCGAGATGATGTGGAAGCCCTTAGCTTAACGCCCAGCACCTCGAGTTAAAGTTAGTGACTGAGATGAGGTGTCAGCGTGCCTGCCACAAAGATGGGAGCAAGACCTGTTTCATGTTTTCAGGGGATTATCATGTATAGGGTTGCTGAACATGTGGTACACCTGGCCTGAAGAATCAGGTCCTCTGGCTACTGAGTTTTGTATCCAATGGCCTGATGGTGCTGTTTATGTTAAGACAAGCCTTCTAACCCTTATGGATGTTATCCTAATAGCACTTGCCAGGAGAGCACATGTCAGGAGCAAAGAAACCAGCAGGTGGTTCCTCAGACTGGCTGTGGGTACTTGCTCAGGTGGAGGTGGGGTCCCTGAGTCTGGTACCCAGACCCTCTACAAAACACTCAAGGTCTGGGCTGAGAAAGCACTGTGGGACGTGCCATTTTAAAAAGTATCCACCACTCCTTTACATCCCTGCCTTCAAGAAGTGGGCCTTAACTCCCCTCCTGCGAATGGACTTAGTGACTCATAATAATGAACAGATTAAGGTGGAAATGACAATGTGGCACTTCTGGGTGGCTTCTGCCTAGCTCTCAGGCCATGTGCTGTGGGGGACACCAGCCACCACAATGTGAGGACACTTACACAGCCTCGTGGAAGGTCCATGCGGGAGACACTGAGGCCTCCTGACCGCAGCCGTGTGGGGAGCCACCTTGGATATAGCCCCTCCAGCCCCGACTGAGCCTTCACACATGACGGCAGCCCCTGCTGGCACACCAAGGTGAGCCAGATGCAGCCAGATCCACTTCTGGGCTACTGGCCCTTAGAAGTTGTGTGTTGACACATGTCTGTCATTTTAAGCTGCTAGGCTGTGGAGTGCCACATAACTCCTATAGGACCCAGGGGAGTAGTAACAGCACCTTACATTTATGTCATACTTGTACTTTTCAGAGCATTTTAATCTATTCTCCTTTGAACCTCTTGATAAAACTCAGAGAGACTGTGACAGAGATAACACCACTGACCGACCAGCAGGCACTCTGTGCGCCAGAGGCACTTCCCCACCTATCCCACTTGAGAATATTGAATACCAACGCTCAAGTCCAAGGCAGAGGGACTCAAGACGTCAGCAAGTGTTAGCTCTTCACGATCAAATCACAGAATTCACGGATGACAGGACCGAGGTGCAGAGGGGAGCCTCACGGTGGCAGGACAGAGTTGAGTTTCAATCCATAAAATGCTCTCTGGTCACACCACACTGCCCTCAAGGTACAGGGTGTCCAGGTTTCTCATCTGTCCTAACTCCCACAGAGATGAGACTAAGAACTTAAGATGTCCCCTGTCCCCTTGGCAAGGTCCCTATCTGGCCTGGGGCTGCAGTGCCCAGAAGTCAGCAGCAAAGACCTGTGTCCCTCACCGTTCCATCAGCAGACCCAGCCACACCCCCTGCTGCTGGCCCTGTCCTGGGGAGGGTGACAGGCCTGCCAGAGACCCCACCCCTGCCACCTGGGACCACAATGCCAACATCACCCACCAGCCACAGGTGGTGGGTGTCCGGCCTGTCCTCTGCTGAGCCCAGGTTGCTGCGTTGCGGGGAACTGGGGTCAGGCTGAGCTCGGATGCTCACAGGGAAGGGACCTGGAGGAAGAGCACGGGAGCCCGTCAGGACAGCAGCACAGATTCTGCTGTGTGAGGGCTGTGCCTGGGGACAGTGGAGATGGCCTGTCTGGCGGTAGCAGGCAGTGGGGGAGCCAGCAAGGAAAAGGTTAAGTAGAGTGTGTCACCCACACCAGAGCCCATGCAGTGCAGCAGGCCTGAGGGACCCCTGGAGGTGCCACAAATGAGCCACCACTGGAAGTCCCATGACGTGGCCATGGCAGCCGGTGGTGCTGGCTCCTCAAACCAGAGGCAGCACCAGCCTGCAACTCACACTGGAGGCCTGGAGGGCAGAGGGTGAGAGTAAGGGGCAGACACACCTCCAGCTGAGGTCTGAGCCTCATGGACAGAGGCAGTCCAGTGAGGTTCAGACCTCTTCACACCAGAAAGTAAATCAGAATTACGGAGTGCGACCATCTTGAAGTGGCCTTGAGGGCAGAGGTGTCTGGTGGGAAGCACTAGGTGGCGTGGCCACCCCAAGTGCTATCAGCACTCCGCGGAGCACAGCCCCCGCAGGGCCTGTAGGGCCGTTCTGTCCTTCATGGTGACCAAAGGGGATAGAGGGGTCCATGAGAAATCCCAGCTGACAAGTCAGGGTCCAGGGCAGCCCGCTGGTTCACTGTGGTCACGTTTCCACTGACAGAAAGACTAGAAGGGTCTGTCTGTCCATCATCACCCTTCAATCATCCTCTCCACCCACCTATACAGCTTGCTTTCTCTCTACCAACATGCTACAGTAGTCTCTATTACTGTAAAAAAGGTCATGGGAATTTTTTAGTTTTTGAACAATGTTTTACAATAAATGTGGGTTACTAGTTTAATAAAAAACATTTTCAAGTTAAAAAAAAATAGGGATTGCCTGCCAGGGGCAACAGGATGTCCCCAGGTGCTGCCTGCTCGGAAAGACGAAGGCACCCAGGCCAGGGAGCAGGGTGCCCAGCATAGTGGCAAGGGGGGAGTGTCGTGGCACTTGCCCTGCTCCTGGGTGCTCGGCCTCCAGGCGCACGCACTGCCCGCACGGGGCCGCGGCGGCCCCAGCCCTCCTGGGGGCTGAGTGGCTGGCTGCAGGCCAGCAGCCACCTCGCTCCGCAGCTGGACCAGGTCGTGCTCTGACAGGGAGTGGTCCCGCCTCAGCGTCACCTCCCCACACGGCGACTCTTCCTCCTGTGGACACAGCAGACCTGGCCCTGCCCACCTGTGCCTCCCGCCTGGACTGACCGAGGTGTGCCTCGCACCAGGGACACGCGCTGCTGCTGGGCCCACGCGGCCAAGGGCCATCCACCCTCCTTGCCGCCCAGCCCGCCTGTCCCCGGGGCAGAAGGCAAGTGCCTCAAACACCAAAGCCTTCCCAGCAGCCTCCAGGGAGTCCTGTAGAGGACAGGCCTGGGGTCAGGCAGAGCCACCGAGGCCACTGTCCCTGGGCTCCCCAGGCTCAGAAGGCCTTAAGAGCAGACGGGGAAGGAGCTGCACGGGCCTTTCACTCCGACCAGGGGCTGCTCAGCTTCCTGGGCCCAAGATCAGGAAGCCCATTTCAGTCCTTGATGTGCTGTGGGAACGGCGGCCCAAGCCACTGTCCCCGTCATCCTTCTGAGCCGCAAAGACAGGGAAGGGTCCCCCAGCCCCACCATGTTTGTTCCCAGGGCAGCCCCAGCCCCACAGCAGGCCAGCAGCTTCAAAGGCAGGTGCTGCGACGGCCCTGAGCACAGGATGCCCTGGCTCGCTCAGCCCCTGCTCACTTCCCTGTCCCCCACTCCCACTCCGTGGCCTCTGCAGTGATCTGCGGGCTCTGACCTCAGATGTGTTCATCTCCTCCATCTCTGCCAAGGTGGGCGCCTTGAGCAGGACCCGGGGCCGTGGGTGCTGGGCGTTACTCCCAGCATCCGGGCTGGACAGGTTGATGCAGGAAGCGGACTTGATGTCTCCGGAGCACGCATCGAGGATGCAGGGCAGAGAGCCGAACCCTGGGGGAGGCAGGGGGTGATGCAGGTAGAACAACAAAGGAGGGGAGGGGCGAGGGGAGTGGGCAGAGGGCTCCCACTCACCACGTTGACTCCGGGGGGCGCAGTGCTCACCCCCCACTGGGCGCAGCCTCCGCTCCTGCTTGATCTCCTCCAGAATCCTCTCGTGCAGGGTCCTCTGCTTCTGGGGCAAAGGGCGGAGCCTTCTCTCCGAGACCTACAAGGAGTGCGGTGGCTCTGGGGCAGTGGGCAGTGACAGGGACGCTCTGGAGCTGAGGCGGAGCCCTGAGGCCCATAGGAGCCGGCACGGCAGGGGCCAACCTAGGGAGCCCTGTGCGCTCCCGGGCAGGACCCCCCCTCCCGGAGCCAAGCTTCCAGCTGCCTCCCTTGGTGTGGACCCCTGGCAGCCCGTGGGGAGGCAGTCGAGGGCAGGGAGTGGCCCCGCTACCTGTTTCAGCGGAGGCCGGGAGCGGATGAAGTCCAGGATGAGCTCGTGGGCATCCTTCTTCACCCTGGGAGGGATGTCTCCGTCCACCTGTCGAGTGGGGGCAGGGGGCAGCAAGGCTGAGAGCCGGAGACTCCTCTGGGGCTGGGGCCACGGAGGGCTCACTTGGGCCGAGCAGGGCCCAGGGTTTACACCAGCCTTCCTCTCTGGGGCCGTGGGGCAGGTACAAGCGTGGCTGCGCCTCCACAGCGTCACCACCACTAGCACCTTGCATCTCAGGCTTTTCATGTGGAAATGGGGGTCAGTGGCACCTGCCCCATAGGGTGGCCATGGGGAAATTGACTCATACACTTAAGGCACCGGCAAGGGCTCGTCAGGGTTGATGTGGGTAAGCCGGCCTCAGCTCCAGCTGTCCTCTAGACTCCACCCCCCCCAGCCCTCTGCCTGCCCTGTTCACACAGTGGGCACCCCTCCTGACTCACCATGACCTTGCGCAGCTTGTAGTTCCTGGCTCGGATGTCCTGCATCAGCATCTCGAAGGGGGTGAGCTGGAACTCGGTGGGCAGCGGGTTGAACTCCTGTTCCTGCACTTTCTTGAGTTTCACTCCGTGGCGCAGCTCCCGCATGAGCTGGACCCAGAGTCGGGCCTGAGCCCCGGAAGATGAAAATGGCCCTGAGCCGTGGGCAGGCCTCCCATGGGCCCTCCAGGCACAGACCCAGAATGCCCTGTCTGTTTCCTGGGTCAGGAGAACAGCCGTGTCTTACCCAGTCAGTGTGTCCCAGGTTGTCAAGCTCCGCCAGGGACTTCTCTGCCTGTGGCTCATCTTCCCGAAGCTTCTGCAACATCTGTTAGCCCAGGGGAAGGTGAGGGTGGCAGGGTGTGGGCCCCCTGCTGGTCTGCCCATCTGGGGACATTTCCTTACCACATGGGCTACCATTCCACCAGCTAAAAGGACAAGTGAGCATTTCAGCTAAGGCTTTGGGCTCAGAAAGATATCTGGGGAACCAAGCCATCAGCCTTAGACCCATAGGGAACACCTGGTATTCCACTGGCTGACAGCTTCTCTTGGGCAAGGGCAGGGCGAGACCACAGAACCCACCTAGAACTTCTGGTTTGCAAAAGAATTGCATCTCTTTCTCGCCTGATCCACACATGCCAGTGAGGCCCCGTGTCCTCCACTGAGGCATGCAGAGCCATGGAGCCCTGTCACCCTCACCTATGAAGAGCTCCCAGATTTCTTTGAGATTTTAGCTCACAGGGTCACCTTTCGTAGCCTCTTTGCTTGGGCCACATGCACACCACCCTCTTCGAACACCCACATCCACTTCTCCACACAGGATCCCATCTGGAGTCTTGCACTTATCCACTTTGGTTGTTGTAAGGACTAAGCTCCATAAGGCTGCAACAACGGTTTACGTCTGTTTTTACTCACTTGAGTGTTCCTGGCTCCTAGCACATTGGGGCACTGGCTAGGTCTTAAATGATGGTTGAATGAATAAATGGATGGGTGGATGGGTGGGTGAGTTACTCAGCAAGTCCTGGGAAATAGTCATAGGTATGCAGTTTGTGATGTGGGGAATCACTGCCATTATGGTGAGGGCCCATCAAGGACAGCAGGGATTACTAGATAGCTATTCTATGCTGAATTTGAGAAGCAGATGCTAGGTATGCTGCCTTCATTGCCCTGGATCTTGGCAGCAGCTGGGGCCTCCATTCCCACCATCTCCCCTACCTGGGAGAAGCACCTCCCCTTTAGCACACAGTCCCCTCCTCCAACTAAGACAGAGGCAGTATCCTGGCTTTATAGCCTAGCAATTGCCAAACTGTTGGTACTCTAGAAAATGGTACCAAATCTCCAAGTGGCACAAGGTGTGTGATTCTAAAAAGAGACCTGTGTGTGACCTGGAAGTTCCTGTGGACAAAGGGTATGAAGGGTGAGTCTCCCTTCCTTCCTGGAGTATTTAAACCTGTCTATGAACAGGCTGCTTCTGCCCAAAATGCCAGCCCAGCTGTGCCCCACCAACAGACCCTCCTCCAGCTCCCTTCCACTACCAATTTCCTGAACTTCTCTTGGGTCAATTACTTGAAGTCTAGAGCTATTTGCTCCTGCTAAAAAAAGCTTCATTGTCTGGTCCAGGAATTGAATAGATTAGTAAGCAACTGCTTGGTAAGCAGAATAGACCCTTTAGAGCAAGAAAGACAAAGTGTCAAGCCCACCCGCTGCGCAGAGTGTCAGGTGGCATCCCCAGGGTGCTAGGGAGAAGTGGGGAGGCGGGCAGGAGGCTGGCTCCGGCTTGTCCCGCACTAGCCCAGCCCCGACCCCATGTCCCCAGAACGACCCTGAAGCCTACTCAGGCCCAGAGGGTCAGGGAAGCCGGCCAGGGTAGAATCAGGGACCAGCATCAGTTAAGTCCAAAAATAACTCCCGCTGCTTAAGCAAGAAACATTGGAGCAAATCCCTCCTGACCTCTCCAAGGTCTCTGTTTTCTTATCTGTGAAATGCTGATGGAAAGAAGGGGTCCTTGTGGGCCAAGACACTCGTTTCAAGGAAACACTTCAGTTCCTTCCAAGGGTGGGGCTGGGAGGTTTTAGGGGAAGACTGTCAGCTAACTCTGAGATGGCAGAGAGACAGGGCAGCCCTGGGGGAGACGCCAGCTCTGCCCTGTTCTAGCGCTGGGACTGGTGGCCAGGGACACAGCCTCTCTGAGCCTCCATATGCTCATCTGTAAGGCAGGTGACAACGCAGAGTGTGGACAGCAACGTTGGACCACCACTGGGGGGCAATGACGTGGGCTCGCATCCTGTCTCTGAGCTGCCAGCCATCCCACAGCTCCATGCACACAGCGCCACGGCACCGGTGCTGGGCTGCAGGAAGGGGCTTCTTTCACGCCCTGTCTTGGGAAGGAACCAGCCCTAGCAAGGGGAGGCGGGAGGTACAGCCCCCTTGGCAGATGTAAACATGGAGATCAGGGAGAGAACAACTAAGAGGCAACAGGAGTGAGGTCATGGGCTGAGGGGCTTGAGAGCCAGACACTTAAGGCCCGAGCGTCAGTCCGGTGCACACCCAGTAAGGGGTCAGAGTCAGGCTACAGCCTGAGAAGCACAGAGCACAGACCCTGGGCAGCCGAGCGGAGGCCCGTCCTGAGCATTTCCTCCCCTGCTGGATCTGTGCTAAAGGGACAGGCAGCCGTGCCTTGCCCACCTCCCCAAACCCCACTCAGGAAGGCACCTCTGAGGCCTCTCCCCACTCCTGAAGCCCTTCCCACCCTCTTACCACCTGGGCACTGCGCACGTCCCCTCTAGGCGCGCCCCTGCCCCACCCCTGTGCGTCCTCGGCAGACCCTCCCTCCACTCACCTCCTTGGCCTCCCGCACCCTGGCCAGGAAGGCGCGCAGCTCCAGCGTCTCCACAAAGAGCGCGCGGCACACAGCCTGATAGTGGGTGTGCGCCCCTCGGGGGTCGGTCAGGCGCGCCGCGCACAGCCGCATGGCCTGGGCGAACGTGCGCACGGCGCGGGGGCCGCCCTCGGCCTCCTCCTCCTCCTCGGGGCCCCCGTAGCCCTCGTCGGCCGCCCCGCAGCCGCCGTCGTCACAGTCGCTGTTGGCCATAAGGTCGATGAGCCGCTCCAGCTGTGGGCTGAGCTCCCGCTCCTCGCTGGCGTCCAGACCCCAGTCCAGCGCGCGGTAGATGGCAAAGCCCAGCGACTGCACCATCTGCGGGACAGGGGCCCGGAGTGTCACTGGGGGCCAGGCGCCCCCAAGGCAGGGGGCCCGGGAGAGAGGCGTGGGCTGGGCCTGACCACAGCTTCCGACAGGGTGGTGGGAACAGCCAGCTGTGCACCCAGAGACTGACCACCGACACAGGACGCCCTCCAACCGCGCAGCCACTACAGGGAAGTTGGGCAAGTTCTTAGGGTCAAACGTGCATTTACCACACGACTGCAGCCCCCCGCCCCCACCCTGGGTATGGAACCAGGAGAAAGATGTACATGCGCACAGGACTGGGGCGCTCGAATGTCTGCGCCAGGCGGGTGGTCAGCCAATGCGGGCCGTCCTTGCAGTGAAATACCAGTCAGCCGGGCACAGGACCGGCCTGCGCACAACCGCCTCACCGGCCCGGGCGCGCGTGACAGGCCAGACCAGTCTCCATGCTGCCCCGTTCGTCTATGTGAACCCGAGGCCAGGCGACGCTAAGTTACAGCCACAAAAAGCGGGCCAGTAATTCCAAGCCAGGGGTGGGGAGAGGGACTCGAAAGGGTGCAGGAACTTTTGGGATAAAGGACGAGGTCTGTGTTCTTAATCATGGCATCGGTTACACAGTGTACACACTTATCAGAAGTCAGTGTGAAGTATACCCAAAAATTTTGACTAAAAAAGACAACCTAATTAAATATTACCTTTTGATGTAATAAAATGGTATGTTTTATTTAATTTTTTATTTTTTATTTAAATATAGTTGATATACCTTAACAGTATATTTTAAATCAAAGGTGAACATCAGGTTTGTTCAGTTACATAACTGGAATTTTGCTGTACATAACAACGTTCTTAACACTTGAACTCATAAAAACTGACATCCCCTCACTGAAATACTTTAAACTGCATGTAAATTTCAATGTACGTAAATTTAACCTGGAAAATGAAACCTCAAAAAGAATCAAACCTGAGTTGAGGAATGGGGGAGGGGCCATCCAGGAAATAGTAACTTGGGGTCCGCCTGGGCCATACACTATTATGTTTGCTTTGTATATGCTTGAAACTCTCTACAACCGGGTTTTTTTTAAGCACATTAGCCACTTAGAACGCCGACAGTCTTGCAGCAGAGAGACCCTTGACTCAGCATTTCCATTCCCCTGGCAGGGAGCCCTGTTTGCATGGACTACTACTGGCACCTGAAGAATCGCTCTGTGGATGCCTGGGAGATGCTGCCACCCCTCCACCTGTTCACACGCAGCTGCACCCTGCCACCACCTGCTCAGGGGCCCGTGGCTGAGATGGGCAGGTCTGTCTGGCCAGAAGGGCCACCTGGCATGCTCCCTGATGGTGGCCTGGGATGACGCTGAGCGCAACGACAGCACTTCCGGTTTGTGTGCACCCGGTTTCTGGGCCTTGAAAGGCTTTCATATCTTCCCTTTAGGACGCAGATACAGAAGATGCACACACCAAAATGACCGAAGCTCTCCTGACATCAGGCACTTATGCAGTCAACAACCTGTGAGATACCCTCTTATTTCATCAGGGGAGGACCGAGGACAGAAGGTCAGGACACTGGCCCGCAGCTAGCAGCTAGCCAAGCTGAATGTGGACTTGAATGTGGGAATCAGGTCTGCCTGTGGCCTGTGCTCTAAGCTGTGTGCCAGGGTAGGAGGCCACTTCATGGCAGATGGAGCCACACCCTCACCAGACCTCAGGGACACTCTTACCACCTGGAGTCCAAGGCAGCCAGCCTGAAGGATGGCAGGTGGTGAGAGCCAGCACTAGGCAGGGGACGGAGGCAAGAACAGGCCTTGTCTGTCCTGCAACACTTTAAAAAGCACCCTGAGCCGGGGGACCTAGGGGTGTCAACCTGGGCTCACGGGTCTTGTGGGAAGAACAGGCTGCAATAGTGACAAAGTTCCAGCCTAAAGCCAACAAAAGCCCCGCCCATCTAGGAGAATGTCTTATCTCCCCTTTGGGCAAGCAAGGGTCACAGATCCAATCCCAGGCACACCCTAAAACCATGAGTCAGAGGGCACAAGGCCAAGGCCAAGCTGGCCACACCTGAAAGGTGACTGCAGGGCCCTGGCCTGAGCTGGGTGGAGTCCCCTGGGGCAGTGGGATCCCCAGAAAGCACCCTAAGGCCCCTCAGGACTACTGGGCTGACAAGCCACAGTTCTCACCAATTCCCATCAATTCCTTCTTGGCCCAGAGGGTTGGTGCCAGGAAGGGATGGTGGTGGAGGTGAACTTCACACCCTTCCTGGGTCTTCCCACAGCCCCTGTTGACCTGTAATGGCCCTGACCCGGTCTCTCCCTTGGACACCAGTCCACGGCATGAGGCGGGGCAGACAGAGGGCCAGGGAGGAAAGCCCCCAGCTCCAGGCAGCCCACCTGTGCCTCCCCTCTGGTCACTGGCCGGAGCACCAGCAGTGAAAGGGTTAATGGCAACAGGGGCCCATCTGACAGCTGCTCCCTCAAGAGCCTCTCTGTGCCCCTGGGGACTTTCCCATAAGGAAAAATCTGAGCAGCGGGCCAGAGTCTCAGAATCACCAGCTCTGCCGCCCCGAATGCAGACCAAAGGGGGCGCCCTAGGCAGCCAAGGGGCCCCAGAGCAGAGGCCCTGAAAGAGCAGGCCAGCTCCACCAGGGGCCAGCAGAGAGCACGGGGTGAGCGAGACAGGTGCGTTTCCAGGGGCGGGGCTATCACCAGGTTCATGTACGGGCCGTTGGGCAGGACGACCCAGGCTGGACCCCAACACAAAAAAGCCCCTTGTAAGGATTCTTGAAACTGGCACCAGTGGGTCTCCTCTGCAGCAGGAGGAAGGGACTCCGGACAGCAGGGCCACCCAGCATCACTGCCTGAGAGGCAGGGGGACAGTCCTGCACTTCGGATAAACAAATTATCCATAATATTATGCAGCAGTGGAGGGGACGACAAACACAAAGCAATGAAGATGACTCTTGAAAACACACTGAGTTTTTCCCCAAATTCCAGGAAACTATATACAATCACAATATTGTTTCCACAGGGCTCATGGCAATCCTAGCAGTGTGTCCTTAAACATGGGGTGGGTGTCTTGTCACTGACATATTAAGAATTGCCAGCGTGTGGTAATAAAAGGTAGGAAACCTTTGGAATGGTTTTAGTATCGCTTTTAAGTTCCCTACGACAGACAGTATAGCCTCTTCTGGCCTGTGCCCACCCACCTTGGTATAATACTGTTTAATATATAAATACATGTTTTCATAAAATTATTTTGAAAGGCAGTGGAATGATAAATATTAAATTCAGGACAAATTACCTGGGGGCAGGTGGATGGACAGGGAGACACAGGAAGAAATCCCACAGATGAGGTTTGAGTTCTGGGTGGGATGGGGGTCATTGGGTTGGTTTTCTGAGTGACCCTGAGACTCACTTCCTGCCTGACACCCCATGCCCGGGGGCTGGCCCCTCAGATCACATCATCTTCGCTCCCTCCCTCTGTCCAGTGGGAGGCATCCCAGGAGTTTGGGGGTGACAGGGAGAGGGAGGCGGGACATCATCGCTTCTCCCACCCCTGCAGGCCCACCAAGGCCCCCGGGGTCCACACCACCTGGTGGGCTCTCTCATCGCCGGCTGGCCCTCTGGGAGTAATCTCTTCGTCAACCCCCTGTCTCAGGGAAACAATTGTACAGCTTTATATTTTTTCTAATTTATATTATATGATACACCTAAGTTTTAATATGTATCCAATAAATTTAAAAATCATTTCAACAGTACCTGGGCTTCCCAGCTCGCCGGCGACACCATCATCGTTGTGGACTCTACGAGAGGACAGAAGAGGCCATCAGGACATACCTCAGCACCTGGGGCCCCGAGGAGTGCACCCACCCACCTGCCCTTCCCCTACCCCAGAGCATTGCCTGGAGTCTCCACCGGAATGCCAGGAAGCTTGCAATGGCTGTGCTAGCAGTCGCTCAGATGCACACCTGAAGCCCTGGCTCTGGGCTGGACACCCAGTGCACAGGCCCTGCCCCACACAGAAGTCACACCGAGGCGACCACTCGGAAGGGATCAGCCATCGGGGCCATCGAGTCTGTACCCGGGGAAGTGTGTTTGGTGAAGGGGGCAGCTCAGATAAGCCCGTCTGCAGAAAGACCTCACTGTCTGAGGCCCTGAGGCCCCCATCAGAGGGGTCAGAGGAGAAAACCCAACTAAGAGGAAAGTTGCTCTGAGGACTCCCAATGGGCAGGCCAGCCTCCGGCCACTGCTTCTGGGTCTGGGGGCTTTCCCTAGACCGTCAGCATCTCCAGCAAGAATCAGAGTCCTGGGTTGAAGCCCAGGTACTCATTTAGCCTCTGTAGTTTGCTGTTTACCACTTGACCTGGTACTGGGTTACCTGTCATGTAACCTAGACCACCCGGGAGGTAAGTGGTTCTGGAACCCGTTTCACAGACGAGGAAACAGAGGCCCAGAGGGTGAGCTTGTTTGCCCCAGAGTGTCATGGTAAGTGGTGGTGCTGGGTGAGGCCAGGCAGGGGGACCCCAGAATCTGTGCTCCTGCTGAGCCCTAAGCTATTTCCCTGGCCTTCCAAGATGCCAGGCTGGGTGAGACAGAAAACCCACCCACTTCTACAACTTTCCTTGAATTAAGTAAGTAGAACTGTGTCAGGATGTGAACTTCAGCTGCTTTAAATTCTTTCTGGAATGAGATGGGGTATAAAAAACCAAACCACTAAATTCTGCTAAGTGAGACTGCTAACTGCAAATATTGTTAAAATGCCATCAAGAGCCAGGAAGATTGCCAAAGATAAAAGGAGTCTGTGTTGGGCTGATCCATTAAAATAATGGAAAGCCATCCACTCCCAGCATTAGTGGAATTCATATAAAAGTGAGCAGCAAGCAGTATCCCGTGGACGTCCAGTATGTGTGTAGCTGTGGATGGATGGAGGCCATGGAAGGACGAAGAAACCAAACGGAGCACAAAGGCGCTCTTTGGAAGAGACTGGTGCCCTGCGCACGCTACGGCCGAGCAGCAGGGTGGGGCGGCCAGCCGGTCCCTCGGCCCCTGTGCAGGCCCTGCACCAGGGAGCTTTCCGACTGCAGCAACAGTGATGGCCGAGTCCCTCCCTTAAGAATCCATATGTTAACAAAGCAGGTGCTCATGAATGGAATCATAACAAGTGGCGAGGACTTGGGGTTTCCGTGAACAAGCTGCCCTCCATGACGTTTGGGCAGAAGGAGGCTGTGGAATTTCTTTGCTATAAAACTAGCGAATGAATTATTGTGGCTTCAGTGTGCACGGCCCCCTCATGGATGTTGGTGTCATGACTCTCTCTTTACAGATGAGGAGGCCGAGGCTCAGGCAGAGTGTGACCACACAGTTAATCAATGGCATTGCTGGGGCCCCCACCAAGCACTGCCAGACCCCAACGTGGGCCCTTCTGGCCAGCCCACCCAAGAGCTGGGTATGACCTTATGAAACTATTGTAACTTTGTGACCAGCGTGGTCACTAGCATTGTGCAGACCATCTTTTGCTTATTTTAAAAATTATCTTTGTGGGAGAACAGAGACGCAGACAGAAGCAGATGAAGGCAGCTAAGACTGAGGGTTCTCACGAGGTCCATCAGCGCCATGCTGAGTGGAGCCACATCCAGGATGCCCAGTTTCCGAGGCATCCTATGGCCCCGCTTCTCACCCAGCAGGGCGGTGCACCCTTACCAAGGCTGCTCCGGTTAATTTGGTATAAAATAACAAATGAGGAGAAATCAAGATGCTGGGAGGTTTTCTTTGAAATGGTCCTGTGTCGTCGTAGTAAAAGATAAAAGATTTTATGTGGGGGAGAGAAGCCTGTGGGGTACAGCTTCAAGGCAAGTACCCCACCTGCCAAGACGGCAGGTAGTGGAGGGCTTCCCAGCGGCATCAGCCCCTGTCTGCCTCAGGGGTGGGAGTGGCACCTTTCAGGCCGAGTCCCACCGGCCCCCTGCCTCTCTCACCTGTTTCCTCGACTGCCCACCTGACTTGCAGTGTCGCCTGAAAGAACAAGTGAGGCACAGATGCAGACTCATCCCAGGGCACTGCGGCCACAAGGAGTGGGAGTGGGATTTCCACAGAGGTGGTGGGGGTCTCCAGGGCCTCCGCCATGCTTAGCCTGGGGGCACCTGCCTGTGATTCGTTAGGCCTGTGGTCAGGACGGGAATGGCTGTGGAGGAGCCCACGGTCCCCCCTCCAGAAGAGGGAGAGCGTGCCCGTCTCTGTGGAGGCCCGCCCACCACAGCTTGGGCTGCACCAGGCTCCCAGGCTGGACCTTCCAGCCCCTAAATACTGGCGACTCCAAGGGCAGACCTGTCTCCAGCCCAGGAGGCTCCTGCCTTCCAGCATCTCAGGCTTAGGGTTCCCGGAGAACCCGTGAGGCCCCACAGCAGGGAGGGCAGCCGGAGGCGCCCTCCATGCTGGTGGGAAATGGCCACTAGGAAGGCAGTCTGCGACATCTCACGTTGAAATTGCACCCGAGGGCCTTGCGTTAGCAGGTCTGCTTAGAAGACGGGCCCACATGGCATGAGGCCCACCAGGAGGCTCACCGGCACTTCCTTCCTAACTGGGAGATACTGGAAACAAATATATGTCCACTAGAGACATACGGAGTCATCCACAGAAGGGGAAGGAGGTGTCCTTTGTGATGAGATGGCCAGAGGTCCTTTAAGTGGACAGCAGGAGGCAGAATCCTGGGCTCAGAAGGAGCTACACTGAGCCGTGTGACCACGTGCAGAGGCTGGCAGGAGGGGGGCACGTGCTGTGCCACGGCGCTGAGAGATCAGTCTGTGCGGAGCGTGTGTGTGTGATGCAGGCTCATTCACGATTCAGGGCAAGAGCGTGTGGTCTGAGGCGAACAAGCCTCTGGAGTCACAGACCCGGGGGGCTCACACTGACTGACATTCTCAGAATGGCCCTCATTAAACAAGGGTGGCACCGCCACACAGGCTACTGTAAAGGTGAAGTGAAGGCACATGCGGACCTAGTAAGCCATTTGCAAATGCCTGTTTTATTGTCAAGTAACAAATTTCAAAACTTTAACTAACACCCCATGACAGCATTGGTCTCTAGAAACAAGCTGGAGGCAAACCGAAGGCAGCGGGGAAAGCGTTCTTGAAAGGAGGTTTTGTGTTTGTTCGCAAACACAAGAGTTCTTTGGATGAAAGGCATCGGGCCTGTGGTTCCCTCCCTCCTCCACCTCACTTCCGCAGACGCCCACCTCCAGGAAGCCTGTGGCAGAGGTCAGCCTGCTTCTCCTGAGCTCACACACACCCACAGGGCATGGCTCCCTCCCCTGCTGCAGAGCCCCTGAGGAGACCCAAGTCGAGGGGGCAGGTGTTGGCCAGAGGCCTGTGTACACCCCAAGCAATAAATGCTCAGATAATTGGCTCCACTGTCACAAAGTTCTGGCAAGGGAAGGAGGGTTGCTTCTCTGCTCCTGCAGGACTTCCATACCCAACTCTAGCCAGCACATCTTGGGAACAGCCCCAGAGACAGCCTTCCAATGGTCACCGCAGCCCTGGAAGAGGTGCACCGCATTCTAACGCAGGTCCCCCCCCCACTTGGCTGATGGCAGCTCATTCAGTCACAAATCTCACTTAGTCTGGGCTTCAGCCCCACAGTGCGGCCCAGAGAGAGTGAGGGACTTGCCTGAAGTATCTGGCTGAGATTCAGTCCCCAGCAAGCCCGGCTCTGAAGCCAGCACAGAGACCATAGCCGCTGGTCACTGCTGGAGGTATTCCAGAAAGGGCTGGAGGACCTTGCTCAGGGTGCGGCCCAGGGAGTCCACTTATGCAGTAGCCCAGTATCACTGGGAACCTGTCAGAAATGCAGCTTCTCAGGCCCACCCCAGACCTGGGCAGGATCAGACACTCCAGGGTTGGACCCAGCCATCTGTGGATCTGTGTTTAAACACCCACCAGCAGACTCAAATGTGAGTGCCCATTGCACTCATGTGACCTTTCCCCAACTTGTCCATTTTCTAACCCCAGGACTTGTGGGCACATTACATTGCAGGGAGGACTTGGGGTGGCAGGTGAGGTTGCTAATCAGCTGACCTTAAGGCCAAGACAGTATCCTGGATTTTTTACCTCTTCAACTATAAAAGAGTAAGCTCGGGTGATTTGTTATCGCAGCCAAAGGAAACTCTTACACCCTGCTTTTAAGCCCTTCTGCCATCTCTCCCTCTCTAGTCCTTAGGGACAGGCTACAGGGCAAATGCCCTTGAACAGTTACACATGAGCTGGACACTGGTGGCCCAGGGGTCCCAGGTGGAGCTGAAGGCCATGCAGGCAGCCCTCCCGACCTGCCTGATCATGGAGGAGCCATTTCCAGGCAGCCTTGCTCCCTGACTGGGGCCTTACCAGGAGGCCAAACGCCATCTGAGAAGTCTAACAGGATCAGTCTTCCTGTAGCCCATACTCACATATTTGCTTGAACGGCCACCTCCCAGGACTGACCAGCCAACACCACAGGACTCCCTCTACAGGAGCCACTCGAACACCACCAGCCCCATGGCTCATCCCTCATGCTGAGTTCAAAGGACATGGTTGATTCCATCCCAGGAGACAGAGAAGCCCTTCTCTGTGAACACCTGGGGGGTGTGGAGGACCAGGGCTCTGAATGTGGCTAAGGCACTGGGACCGTGTCTCCGTGAGCCCCTCCTCAAGAGTAAAACCCTCTCCTATATAGGCACAGGGCAGACCTTGCACATGGCCGGGGCATCTATTACAGCCAGCAGCACGGGCCGCTTCACAGGTGTCTGGATAACAACACAGTTTTTTGAAGGACA